AATTTTAATAATTTTCATGAAAATTATGTATGGTACTTGACATTCGCAGTTATTTTTTATTTTTTAGAATTGCATTAAAAGACAACTACCAATTACTCCTGAAATGACCTCTGTCCATTCTAAGGTAAAGAACAAACATTTATGGAAAAGCATGGCAGAAAGCTGCAAACACTAAAGACAAGCTAGAAAGAAACAAAGGGAAAGGATGTAAAAGCGAATAAAGTACATACCTCTTAGCGCATTAGCTAAATTGCCGTTGGAAATGAAATCACTGATGAGGAGCTTCTCATCGGGAGCCCAGTAATAAGCCCTTAGCTTCACAACATTAGGATGCTTCACCCTCCCAATTGCCTGAACTTCTGCGATAAACTCCTTGTACCTCTGCTCTCCTCCCTCTCCCAGTCTTCTCACAGCCACTGGAACTCCATTGCCGAGCACCACTTTATACACAATACCCAACCCACTCTTCCCCAATACGTAAGCCGAAGCTCTCAGCAGCTCATCCAGTTCTAAACTGAATCCCTTGTCTATCGCCACCAGCTCTCCTTCCCCTTTTACTCCTCGCTCCCCTTTCTCATGATCCTCGTAATCTGACTCCTCGTTCCCAGACCCATTGCCGCAAGCGCACCCACACAGATTCCGTCTTCGGTTGCCTCCTAGTTTCTCAGTCCCCGTGCAGCTACACCCACCCTTGGAATCCTTCTTTCTCCAGTATATGTACACTATCACCAGACCTAGCAACGCAACACCAGCCGCGTCTGCGACGGAGATTAATATGATCAAACCTGGGCTCAGTCCTTTTCTTGTATTATCATCATGACTTTCCGGTTTTGAACTTTGAGTGGCAGAGGATTCCTGCCCAGTGTCCTTGCAGGACTTTTGCAAGGGAAATCCACATAGCAGAGGATTATTGAGGAAAGCTGTAGGTCCTTGGTTAGCAAACGACCCCGTTTGAGGTATTTCGCCGCTCAAATTATTGCCCCTGAGATCAAAGCTCACTGTAACTGGCAAATTCCCCAGTGATTTCGGAATTTCACCTGATAAATGATTGTAAGACAAATTGAGAGTGCCTGTCAGAGAGTTGAGTTGGCCGATATCCTCAGGGATCGATCCGTTGAATTCGTTTGAGGAGAGATCGAGCTGCACTAGATTCTTCAACTGCGGCCAGATTCCGGCGGGAATATCTCCGGAGAATCTGTTGTTAGCCAAGATCAACCGCTGCAGCTGCTTGCAGTTGTTTAGATCAGAGGGAAGATGTCCGGAGAGAGAGTTGTTGGAGATATCGAGGTTTTGCAGTCTCGGAAGGTTGCAGATGGAGGGAGGAAGCAAACCGGATAGATTATTTCCGTAGAGGAATAGACTGTGTAACGACGTGGCATTGAGAAGTTCATTAGGGATGGAGCCATAGAAATTGTTGTAATGGAGATTGAGCCGGCGGAGAAAAACGAGCGAGCCAAGCTCCGAGGGAATATAGCCCCTGAGATTCTTCCCGGAGACGGTGATGCCAACGACGCGAGGATAGGGGAATCCAGTGATGTTCGTGCAGGAAATGCCCGACCAGCGACAAGGATCGGGATCGTTCTCATTCCAATCGGAGAAGGCAGAAGGTTGATCGACGGCGGACTTGAGGGAGAGGAGAGAAAGGCCATCGGGAGTGAGAGCTTTGATAAATGGAGGGTGGAAGATGAGGAATGGAAAGAGGAAGAAGAAGAGAAAGCTTCGTGGGTTAATCATGGCGGACTGAATTGATATTGAGGAAGGAAGAGAGAGTCGTTGCGGAGGGGGTTGTTATAGTATTAGTGTTTAGCGGGAGAGAGAGAGAGAGGTGGTGGTGGGGGTTAGTTGCAGTGGTTTATGAGAAAGAGACTTGAGGGTTACGAGATTTTGATTAGAGGTGGGGCCCATCTCCCGCCAGAAAAGAGAAGAGGAAGTAGAAGAAAAGCAAGTGCCGAGTGCTGTGTACTTGAGGTAGAGAGAGAGAGAGAGAGAGAGAGAGAAACATCCGTTGTGATTTTTATTTTTGTTTTTGTTTTAATTTCTCTATTTCTTTTGTTAGCAGGTGTATTATATTTTAATATAAATATGTTATGGTAGCTGTGTGGCTTTTTTAAATTATCATTCGGGGGCAAATTTTTATTTAAGAAAAAATTTACCTACCTAAAATTTTAAATGAAATTCTCTTTGTCCTGTCTATTTGTTGTTGAATTTGAGATTTTCTAGTTAACGAAACAAAAAGGGTGAGAGGTGGTATGACCTCAATTAGAGGTGGGTTTGACAAATCGACTTAAGGATTAATAGATAGGAGTGAAATTAATAAACGAGAATATAGCAAAGTTGGACTTCACACCTCTATCGGTGATTATCGAATTTTATCTTAGAAAATATTTTTATATCTAATCTCACAAGTAAGAATTTTAAAAGAGAATAATAAAAATAAATAAAAAGTATAAACCATCGAGGGTCCTCTTAAATTCATGTTTAGGTAGTTTATATTATTATGATAAGATCAAAAGATCCCTACAAAACACCAGTGAAGAATTCCAGATATTTCAACATTGCCACAATGGAAAACATGGGAAATTAAACACGTCTCAGCTCCACAAGAAGCGGTCAAGTTAGCATCTTCTTTTCTTATTTTTGTTATCTCTTGTTTGCGTTAGAATCACTATCTTTCCGTCACTACCCACTGTGCTCCTTGATAACATGAAAGTTGTTGTAATTTTTTTTTTTTTCTATTTAAGCTCCCTAAATTATGAATAAAGGAGAACATTTTTTCGGCAGCAATACCCTGTGGTAATTCTAGCCTAAATAGAAGCAAATTCATTTTTGATTCACTTGGTTCTAACCAGAACCTAACATTTGGTATCAGAGTCATATATAACAAAGAGAGAATTGAACAATTGGAAGTCAATGTCGGGGGACTGCAAGATAGCTTCAACCGAATGGAGTTGGGAGTCGTCGATAAGCTTTACCAAATGGAGGATATCCTCAGGCGGTTGATGGATACTCTGTTAACAAACCGCGAAGGGACCAACAACAACACTCTAAGTTGGCCCAGACTGACGCGACCACTCCACGATGTTGGCACCGAAAGAAATGATAGAGGCTACCAACCCTTTTTCTCGATGCTCTTTAAGCTTGAGTTCTCCATCTTTTTCAGTGATGACCCAATCGAATGGCTCAGCTGCGTCGAACAATTCTTCAACTACCAAGGAATTGCTGATGAGCAGAAGGTTTAACTAGCTTCTTTCCACCTAGAGGATGAAGTCAACCAGTGGTAGCAATGACTTTGACTTACAGAGAAAAAAGAAAGATGGTGACATGGCTGGGTCTTGAATAAGAAATATGGGCTCGCTTTAGGCCAACTGATTGTGAAGATTTTGATGAGGCCTTATCTCGAGTAAAACAAATCGGGCCTTGAGGGAATATCAAAAAGAATTTGAATGGTTAGGGAATAAGATTCAGGGCTGGACCCAAAAGGCTCTAGTGGGCACCTTTATCGGAAAGCTTAAGTCCGAGATAGCATAAGGCATAAGGATATTTCGGCCCAAATTCTTGAAGAAGGCCATCAGCTTGGCCCACATAAGGGAAGAGCAACTGGGCCGGCAGAGAAGATTCATCCAGGCCAGACGTAATCCTGCCGCCCTACCCCCAACCCAAAATATGGAAGCTACCCCGTGACGTCTATCGTGGGAAGAAATGCAGAGGCATCGATTGCTCGGCTTCTACTTCAACTACAACAAAAAAATTCATTGTTGGCCACAGATGCCGCCGGCCACAGCTTTTACTCTTTGACGGGGCCGAAGAAGAAGGAGGCAAGGGGTCAAATGCGAGAGAACCTGAGATTTCTCTTCATGCGCTCACTATTTGGTCAGCGGCCAAGACGATGCACATAGAAGCAACTATCTACAACCATTGTGTCGTCATTCTCGTTGATAGGGGCTCAACTCACAGTTTCATCAGTGAGTGAGTCACAAGTGTGTTCAAACTTCCGGTGATTCTGACTCAACCCATCTCTGTCAAGGTCCTGAACAGCAGTTTGATGAGATGTCAAGGGCTGTTCGAAAAGTGTCGGTTCACCTCTAAGGTATTCTCTTTACTCTTACTTTTTATGTTTTTCCACTAACAGGTCTTGATCTTGTGCTTAGAGTTCAATGACTGAAAAAATTAGGGCCAATGGTTTGTGATTGGGGACGAATAACCATGGAGTTCAAGTGGGATGGGCGACTTCAACGGTTGCACAGAGTCAATGCCCTACCTATCCAGATCGCTTCGACATAAGAGGTAGCCAAAGAAACCCACCGGAAGACCTCCTAGTTTGCCATCTGCGTTTTGGCCGAGCCAGGCACTCCTGTGACAACCATCCATCCAGAAATACAAACCTTCTTGAACAACTACCAAAATCTGTTCCAAGAACCCAACCAGCTGCCACCCAACCAGGAAATCGACAACCATATCAACTTGAGGGAGGGAATAGAGCCAATCAACGTATAACCTTATAGGTATGCCTATTTTCAAAAATCAGAAGTTGAAAAACATGTCAATGAGATGCTTAATTCTGGGCTTATCATACCAAACACCAGTCTCTTCTCTTCACGTGTTGTTAATAAGAAAAAAAAAGATCGAACTTGAAAATTTTACACAGATTATCGAGCACTTAATTCAGTCACCATTAAAGACTGATTTTTCATTCCGACCATTGATGATATGTTGGATGAACTTCACAGGGCCACCTTCATAAAACTCAACCTCACAGCAGGATACCATCAGGTAAGAGTTCATCCTCCAGATGTTCAAAAGATGGCCTTCCGCACCTATAATGGCCACTATGAATATCTTATCATGTCATTCGGTCTCTGTAATGGTCCGTCCATTTTTCAAGCAGTGTTGAACAACATATTTCAATAGTATCTTTGTAAGTTTGTTCTGATTTTTTTTTACGACATTTTAATCTACAGCCCAAGCTGGGCTCTGCACCTTTATCATGTGAAATAGGTTCTTGACATTTTACGACAACACCATTTCTTTGTCAAGCTAAAAAAATGTGAATTCGGGAAGTAAGAGATGGAGTACTTGGAACATATTATTACTCCTCAAGGAGTTAAGGTTGATCAAAACAAAATTCAAGCAATGCTCCAGTGGCCACGCCCCGATAACATCACTGAGTTAAGAGGATTTTTAGGCTTAACCGGCTACTATCGAAAATTTATTCGATAATATGAAATTTTTGTCAGACTCTTGACAAATCTGCTAAAAAAAGGGCAATTAAGTTGGACTGAAAAAGTAGAGAAGGCCTTCAAAAATCTCAAACAAATTTTGACAACTACCCCCACTTTATCTCTACCAAATTTTGAAGAACCCTTTGTGATAGAAACATATGCTTCTAATAAGGGGATAAGTGTTGTTCTCACTCAGCAGGGACAGCCTATAGTCTATATGAGTCGTGCACTCAGAGTAAACAAGCAAACTTGGTCAATATATGCTAAAAAATTGTTTGCCATTATAGTTGTCATCAAACTCTGGAGCCCATATTTAATGGATAGAAAATTCTTCATTCATACTGATCAGAAAAGCTTGAGACATTTGCTTAACTAACGAATCACCACTCCAGAGCAACAAAAATGGCTTTCAAAATTATTTGGTTACAATTATGAGGTTGTTTACCGACCCAACAAAGAAAATTCAGCCGTCGATGCCCTCTCTTAAAAATTAGGCAACCTAACCTTACAAACAATTTCTTTTCCTAAAAACAACCTATGGGACACGATAAAAAAAGCTTTAACTCATCATCCTTACATGCAAACAGTAACCAAGAGAGCTAGTGAGAAACTGAGGGGTCATTTTTCTTGAAAAATTTGGTTAATCTACTTCAAAACTCATGTTACGATGCCTCTAAAATATGATATTTCACAATAACTACTATGAGAATTCCACTATTCACTCACCAATGGCCATTCAAGTATCCAACAAACTTATGAATGTTTAGCACAACATTTGTTTTTGGCTAGTTATGCAGCAAGATGTCAAAGAATATGTAGCAACCTATGATACATGCCAACGGGTCAAAGCCAACACACTCTCCCCAGCCGATCTCCTACAACCATTGCCCATTCTATGTCATGTATGAGATGATATTTCTATGGACTTTATAGAAGGTTTACCCTCCTCTAATTGAAAAAATTCAATTTTTGTTGTGGTTGACCGCTTAAGTAAATCTGTTTACTTCATCGCCTTGGCTCATCCATTTACAGCTAAAATAGTTGCTGAAAAATTTGTGAAACATGTAGTTAAGTTACATGGAATGCCCAAATCAATAGTTAGTGACAGAGACCTGGTCTTCATTAACCACTTCTGGCAAAAATTTTTAAAGATGTCCGGCACTCTTCTCATAATGATCTCCTCCTACTACCTGCAAACAGATGGTCAATCCAAAGTTGTGAGCTGAAGTCTTGAGCAATATCTCCGATGTCTTTGCCATCAACAACCCTGCAAATGGAGCTCTCTCCTGTCATGGGCAAAATTTTGGTATAACACAATCTACCACGCGATAATTAAGATGACACTCTTCCAGCTTTATATGGTCGATCGCCACCAACCATTCCTCGTTATCGAGATGGCTCCACTTTTGTTGACGAGGTAGACCACCGGCTACATACCAGGGATGCCCTTCTTCAACAACTCAAAGCCAACTTGCAAACAACAAACCATATAATGCAACAAACTGTTAATGCCAAACGAAGAGAACTTAAATTTCAAGTAGGCGATTGGATATTTCTTAAACTTCAGCCATATCGACAGTAAACTGCCTTCAAGAGAACTTTCTAAAAATTAGCATGTCGCTTCTATGATCCGTATAAGATCCTCCAACGCATCGAAGCAGTCGCTTACAAATTACAACTACCCGACGGCTCCCGTATTCACCCAGTGTTTTACATTTCGATGTTAAAAAGGAAAGTTGGTGATTTAATTCCCCCTATTGAAGACCTGTCTGCCACCAATGACGAAGGCAACATCATGGTGCAAGCAGAAGCTATTTTAGATTCCAGATGGATCAAAAGAGAATCTAAATTTATTGAAGAAATCCTGGTAAAATGGAAACATCTGCCTCCAGAGGAGGCCACCTGGGAAAACAACCTCGAATTACAAGAAAAGTTTGTTCATCTGAACCTTGAGGACAAGGTTCCACTAAAAGAGGGGGGCACGGATAAGATCAGAGGATCCCTACGAATACCAGTGAAAAATCCCAGATATTTCAACATCACCAACATGAAAAACATGAGAAATTAACACGTCGCAGCTCCACAAGAAGCGATTAAGTTAGCATTTTTTTTTTAATTTTTGTTATCTCTTACTTACATTAGAATCACTATTTTTTCGCCACTACCCACTGTGCTCTTGGATAACAGAAAAATTGTTGTAATTTTTTTTTATTTAAGCTCCCCAGATTATGAATAAAGGAGAACAATTTTTTGACAACAATACCCTGTGGTAATTCTAGCCTAAATAGAAGTAACTTCATTTCTGATTCTCTTAGTTCTAACTAGGACCTAACATATTAATATAAGGTTTTAATAAGCATTATAAAAGTATTTAAGATTGCTCTTACCAATTAATAGGGGCAAACTTGGTTGACATGTATCTCTGGCTCATTTGTCAAGTGTCTTTAACTTGGCTGTTAGGCATCCCAGACTCAGTCGCTAAGTGACCTGACTTAGTTATCAATACCAATACTTACTTATTATCGAGTATCCCGACTTGGTCACCAGATGTTTTGATTTGTTAGATGTTATGACTTGTTTGACAGACATGCTAACTTGCATAGTTGTCAAGTGTCTTAATTTGATTTTCAGGTGTCTCAGCTTTACTTGGTTATCTCATACTTTATCTTTGTCATACCTTGTGTCATTTGTGCTACATTTTGTCGTATGTTAATGTCACAAGAAACTTTTGTTTTTGAAAAAAAAAATAGACAAAATAATGAGTTTAGGTTAGGTTTAGACTTGATAATGAGCACATATGACTAAGTCTACCAACTCGGCTTGCAGCTTGAGCTTCTATTCTAAGAGGTTTGTCAGCCTATGATCACCTCCATATACATGGTAGGCAAGTAACATTAAATATTATCATGTTTAAACAAATCATATTATATGTGTACTTTTGAACATATAACAATATGCACAATTTTGGTATGCTAATATAATATATAGCATATAGAGAAATAGATTATGTGTATATCTAGAAAACATATAATTTTGTATACTATTTCCATACATTGGTAGTATTAAATACTATTATATAATTAAAGATTATTCTAAGATAACCAAGTAACTTAAGGTGTGTCTACGTGGTATTACATGCTACTTGAATACACGAATAATATGAAACGCTACTCGGTATGAAATGTTTGTCTTATATTTCAAGATGACAATTTAAATAAAATAATTGATAGATTTGATTATAGCATGTAAAATAGATACTATAACGGCATTTGTAAGTGAGAGAAAGAGAAAAAAGAGAGAAATAGGAGAGAGAGAGAGAGAGAGAGAGAGAGAGAGAGAGAGAGAGAGAGATCTATAAAGGATAAGGAACATGTCTCTTGCTCCCTAATATTACATTGTTTTTCTTATAGAAAATTTTTATATTGACTTAATGGTCTTCTCATATACATTTTCTAGTATCTCCCTTTCTACCTCTTTGTGGGTGATCAAACTGGTGGAGATTCCACATGTAATAATTTGTTACCAAAATAAAATTTAGAAAAGTTAAAACTGTTGAATTTTATTTCAGAAAAAAGAAACTAATATGTTTAAAAGAAAATAATGGAACTAATTTTTTAGGACACTATTGATTGTTAAGGCAAAATTAGTTGACTCCTGTAGTTTCGCTGCGGAGACACTGCATTTTCATCCACAATTATTCTTACAGAATTGAATCTAACTAAACACTCCATTTGTTTACTAGAGATATGCATTATCACAATATCTTACTTTCAATCATGAAAAACATGTTTACAAGCTAACAAAAGTATGAGAGAGAGAGAGAGAGAGAGAGAGAGAGAGAGAGAGAGAGAGAGAGGGAGAGGGAGAGGGCGCATCCGTCCAGCTAGCTATTGATGTTTCCTTCTTTTTCGTCCTATAGCAGCTGAAATTAAAAATATATACATATATTATCATACAATCTATACCAAATATAAAACGTGTGGAACGTCGCACTTGGCAGATGAGCTTTTATCTCTACTCTGTATAAAAACTGTGGAATGCTATCTGCAGCATAGACTTGAAAGATAAACTTTTATTTTTGAAGGGAAGAACTGGGGGAACAAGTAAAATTAATTTACGGAATTTTAACTTATGAACTAACAAGACTTTCCAAAAAAAAAAGACTCTCCCCATTTAAACTAGATGTAAATCCTAAGTAAATTCTACAAAAGCAATTCCTTGTTCCAAACATGGTCTTATAAGCAATAGGGTTCCATGATCCACTCACATGTTATTTTGGTGGGGATACACCTAACAAATCTTCACTAGTGTATCCCTAAAGATAGAAATCAACTCATGCCACAAGTTAATACTTCCTGAAGACACTGTTGTGAACAATCAAATCATTCTGGTATACAAAAAGAAACAGATCCCCCCTCTTCTGCCACTTTAACTTTATTGATCAAACTCCCATGATAAGGTCAAGTACAAATGATGCCTACAGGAAAAATAAAAATCCAATTTCGTCCTGTTCTTTTGGCACTTCTTTTAGCACTTAGTTGTATATAAGAGAAGCTGTCCTTCCAGTCAAGGCCTTTAGTGTCAGAAACTAACCTTTCAGAATAAGAATCATACATGTAACTATTTAACAAACAAATTTAAGATGGCAGTAATGGAGGGTTCACAAGCTCAATTAGGTTTGTTATATGAAATTGGCAAAGACAGAATAACTGAAACAATTAACAGCAATGTTCTTCAAAATAGAAATGGATTTGGCCCCACAAGGGGAAGCACAGGAGTACAAAACAATTTATCCCACCTTATCTATGTAGAGGTAGAACATAAGAGACCTCGTCTAAAGCCGTATCACTTATGCCCCAGCCACCTCAACCATTTCCTGCTCTACTGTACTTGGCATAACTGGATAGTATTTATAGTGCAGCTCTCCAACATCATCACCGGAGAGTTTTTTCCATCCATCAGGTCCCACGTAGTAAACTGATTACGAGGCAAGTTTGAACAAGAATAAGCTCATCATGTCACACAGAAGGGAGCCCACATACACACACACACAACTAGAAAAGGAGGGAGAGTATACCGCTTGCAACACCACCACTGGCTCCATCTCGGAAAGTGGCATGATAAATAGCTCTTCTGGCCAACTCTGCAGCTTCTTCAATTGACATATCATATCGGTATCTGAAAATTGTACGACAGTTAAAATAAAGGTAATGACAACTTCGAACACATTGAAACTCCAATAGCTATCTTTTGGCATGAAGCATGTGCACACAAAACAATTTGAAGGATCAAGAAAAGTAGGAGAAATTTAAACTGTCCTGGTGTTTGATACAGAAAGTGGAGAGTAAAGTAGAGACTGTAATCAAATTTTTTTGAGACTTGTAATAAAAAAGATAAGAGAAAAATTTCCATCCCACCAATTTGGTTGAGGGGAGTAAATTCCATATTAAAACATATAACTTATACCAAAAATAAGCAGGCATTTTATCAAAAAAAAAATATAATGTTCAAATAAATTATAAACCCCCCCATAACACCACAACCTGGGGCTAAATGATTGAGGCTCAAGAGGAGTTAAAAGTGATCTAGTGACCCTACATTTATTCCCTCTAAACACTATCGGATGATTATTATTATCAGCTACATTGCTCTCCTTTGCTCAAAAACAACAACCATATCATAAAGATATTATTTAACAGCACAAGAATTATTTAAACTGATTTTATTTGAGAAACTTGCATGAAATATAGAAATGGTTGTCAGAATTCCTACGTTGAAATTGATAAAAAATTATAAAAGAAGGGTTTACCCATTATCAAGAACACCATAAGCATATGGTGAACCAGATCCAACAGAGAAACGTGTTCCTTTCAATCTTCCTCCCTCATTATCCACATAATATAGCCCAGGACCCTACAATAGAAAAAGAGTACTCCATGATAAGAGCCCAAAACCAACTTGACCCCACCTTACTGGGTAAGTGAAATGGCAGAAAACAATGTAGCTAAATTACCGTTTCATCCCATCCAGCAATCATGGTCCCAACAGACAGCCCCATTCCACGATATGAGTAGAGAATATTTGCTAAAAGCTTCGATGCCCCGGTAACTGAAATTCTGCGCTTGTTTGCCAATTCATGCAGTCGGCACTAGTTAAGAATGACATATTGTCCATTAGCAGTTGCTTCTTACATTGAATTGTTCAATATAGAGTTAAAAATCTGTAGCTACTGTTGTCATCATAGTAACCCACACAATTTGTCACAGAATTTACACACAGATCAATTTAGTAGGAAGGTCAAAGCCTCAAATTTCTATTGTAATAATAGATTAAAACTTGAAGACCCTGAATTTTGATGAAAAAAAAAGTTATTTCAGCATACGTGCATAATTCATTAGTAAATATTTAACTCCTATTATAGAGACATTGCAATAACTTCATGATACGTCTCAGTTGTTTAACTTTTCCTGTTTAAAAAAAATCTGAATATTTTAACGAAATACAGTTACTGACTTGACCAGGAGATAAGTAAGAATAGTCTCTTCTAATTTACACAAAATGTAACAAGAAAATCAAAACATTTCAAGAATTTAGCAAGTACAGCCAGCTAATTTTTCCCAAATAAGAACTTTGAGACCTCAAAGACTAAAATAACTCAGGATATGCTGGTACAGAGGTGATTAACTCATCTACTGAGCAACTTGAATTTTAGTTAAAGTAAAAAAAGCATATAAACACCAAAATGCACGAATTACAATGTCAAGAAACACAGTGCACTAAAAAGCCCCGATGTCCTAACACTAAAACTGTAATCCATCAAAAGATGAATAAAGATATAACTTCCTGCTTTAAACTAAAGTACCAGTTTGCCTTACAAGACATTTGCCAAGAACATTTTATCCTGCTCTGCCTACATGCTTATAGAATATAAAAACATAAAACAGAACAAAAACAAAAGACATTAACCTAGCATCAACTACACTAATAAAAACTTTGAATTAAGTCTGTAAGCCCACAAGAATATTTTCAAATTAGGAAAAAGGAAAAGAAACAATCAGCTATTTACCTTAATGCCCAGATTTCTGTGCCAAAACTGGCAGTCAGCAGCTCCTCCGGCCATTGTACCAAGCATGTAAGGATTTATTTCAATAATCTTCTTCACGGACTGTGATGCTGCAAAGGTTAGAAACAGGTTAACTACATATTAATTTTCAAAGACAATGTGAATTTACCCAAAAAAAAAAGAAAAAAAAATAGGAATGGATGTTACTAAAAATATGGCATATCAAGGAACATAGTACAGTGATAAGTTGCATATGTTGAACAGACTACATCAATGGCCCAGTTAACATAAGCATGCACATCTAAAAGTAACCTTCAAATAGTCTCAACTGAAATGTTGGGGCACAGATTCTATAAAGATACTAAATGTAAAAAAGTAACAATAATTTGTGAAAATTAATGGTGTTCCACTATGCCTTTAGGTTAGTAGATATTCCTAGTCAAGGGTCATGATTCTAATAATTCAATAGCTTTCTCATGTGTAAAAGATACAAAATTAAGAACATAGTAATAACAACAACAAAAACAAAAACATACAAATATATCCTCCCATGCTAGCTCGAGAATCAGCAGCAACCATAACACCTTCCTTAAAAATGAAAGCAAGTGTGGTTGTTCCCTTTGCAGGCTTCACCATTTGAATAGCTTCTTTCTGAAAGCCATCAAACTGCAACAGAGCAAATCTTACTATTAATTAATTGACAGTTTGAAAATCAAATTTCACTTCATAAAACAACATTATATTAAAAACTCACATCAGTAGTTTGTGGAAGATCAAATGATGGATTGGTGGAAAAGCCATCAACATTCTCACTTCTTGCACAAAATAGTGGTGTCGCTGATTCAAGACCACTAGTGTCCAGCTTCATCTTTTAAAACCTCAAGAGACAGATATTAAACACTTAAATTCCTACCAAGTTAACCCAAACTAAAGCAATTGCGTACGGTATAAAAATTTGAAGAGTCTCAAAGACGAACGACGTAGAAACAGAAAAATAATCAGTGTAGAAAAGATCGGCAAAAGAAGGAAAACTAATGCACAGACAGATAAAGCCTGATTCACTTGGATGCAGAGAGAAAATGAAGGAAACTCAAAACAGAAAAAGGAACAAGAGGAAGAATAAAAAACACTAGAAAACAGGGAACCTTCTTTTCTAACCAGACTTGCATAAATTTTCATTTGTTTACATCAGAACAAAGCAAAACTATAAAGAATACACTAAATCTAATTCAAAGAATACTAAAAAAGTAAAAGGAAGAATTCGATCGAACATGAACCCTAGACTACATTCAAACAGCTATTAAAACAAACATAGTGAAGAAGCGATGGAAGATTTTACCTTTAAAGAGAATGGTAAAGAAAACGAAAACGATGATTTCAGAGTGTACGCAGAGATCGATCGTCGTACAGTGGTTATTTGAGAGAGGGAGTAAGAAGTTCAGAAAGAACGGAAGAGAAAGAGAGCGATATGCGCTTTTCTTGTGCAGCGGGCAAAGTTTGCAAATGGGCCGAGTTTGAAATCTCCTCAGAATCCTAAACCGGACCGCTGGGCTCTTTCTTTCATTATAAATTTTTCAGCAAATGTCATGTTGCGATTCATTTAAAATTTCTTTTAGCAAATATTTAAATATATATATATACATGGTGAGTAAAATTGGAACAAATTTTTTTGTTTAGTAAAATCGTGAAAGTATATTAATCATGTACAAATTATTTACAAATTTATTAAAATATCAATTACATATCAAAAATTCTTTATCAAATGAATGTCATAACCACGAAAAGAGACTCAAAATAATAGAATCACTAATATCTTAATTTACAAATCTCCCTTTCTACCATTTTAAAAACTCTATTAATTTTTTTTTTCAAATCATCCAAAAAATAGTCAGTGGATGAGATTAACAAATTTTTTTTTTACATAAGTTTTCATAACCTCAAATCTAATCTCTAACCGACCCTATAATGAACCCAGTTGATCCTAATAAGTCATACATCATAAACGACCAATTATAGATTATCAGTTCCCTGAGAATAAGGTGATTACATGATTCAGCTATATTTTTACATATATAGCATTTATTCACCAAAATTTAACCCCTCCTTATCAATTTATTGATAGTCAAAGTACATCTTCTACCCGCTTTCCATACAAAAAAAAAGTAAATTTTGGTGGTGTTTTTGTCTTTCATATTTGCTTAGTTAGGGAAACTTGCCTTCTCTCCCCCACCCTGTAACGACCCTGAAAATTTAAAAGGAAATAAATTATAAATTTAGTGCAGAAACGAAATAAATAGTTAGAGTTTACATTCCTTACACAACAGCTGAAAATACCAAATAGGGCTTACGAGAATAACCATTTTAAAAGAACAATTAATAACTAAGAAAATAAATTAAAAGTAAACAACTGAATGTCCTATTCGCAATCCTTTTCTGGATCGGGCTCTGGATCTTAATCCTCTTGATCTGAAATGGTTAATGAACTAATGAGCTATACTACCTCCGTAAGAATATTATACTACTCATTAATCATAAACGAAGGTTGTTAGAAATCATAAAAATAACTAATATAGCTCTTAATTAAGAAAAATCGTTTATCATAAATAAAATCATTTACCGTCTACTTATCGTAGCGATATTTTAAAAAACAATCTATAAAAGCAATAACATAGCACATATTATAATTTCATATGCAATCGGTTGGAATAATAATTTTCTCTTTTATCAACCTACTAGTATCCACGAGGGTCCATGAGGACGTCCCCACAATGCGTGAATGTTTTTCTTTAACATTTTTAATTAACTGGTCGTCCTCATACCCTGTCCGGTATGAGTGCCAAATTACTAAATCTCGATACTCCGTCTAGTATGAGGGTGAAACGGGCCGTCCACATACCCCGTCTAGTATGAGGGTGAAACGGGCCGTCCACATACCCCGTCTGGTATGAGCGCTAAATTACCAAAACCTTGATATCCCGTCCGGTATGAGACAACGTTCACGATAGGGTTTCCTATATACCCGTTCTGTCCACTATTTTCCAGAATATCCAGTAAGACTGCTATTTCATCAATTAACTTAATCAAATAATTTTTCGACTTCTTTTAATTTCCAATTTCTCAATTAAACCATAATCGCATGAAGCAAGCAATACATGCATTCAAACTATAAGATCAATCAATTAGGTATTATCATGTATTCAAACTGTAAAATAAATCAACAGAATCAACAACGAATAATTTTCGATTCTGTCTCCATTAGTGACTCGTAATTAATCATGAATATTTTTTAAAATGCCCAAAACACCATATTATTATTATTATTAATTAGACTTCAATTTCATAATAGAGAATAATGTGAGAGATTCTTACTCAAATTGATGCCTGAAATACTAAACTTGTTGGCTGCGCCTACTGACGGTCTCCGAGTTCTCTAAATTTTCATACAGGGATTAAAACGTACTTCAAGTATCTAGAAATATCTCAAAAAATTCAAAATCAGTATTAGGACCCCTTTTTGGCCAATTCTGAAATTCGGGCACGGCGACTCCACTGTGCTCCGGGAACATCACCGCTGCTTGCAGCAGCGGTTTGCCTCGGGTCGGCTGTTTTCAGCCACTTTCAGCCGAATTCAGTCATTTTTGTATCAATCTCAGCGAGAAAACACGTTAAGAAGTCTTGGTTAGCCCAAAAAAATCAAAAACTTGAAATTCACCGGCAACGGGGTTCTCCGGTGCGGCAACTCCACTGGCTCACCTTTGCAGTTGAGTGTTTTGCTTCAGTTAACTTGTAGAGAATGAAACGATGATTACAATGGTGGAAGAATTACGTAGAACAGGAATCGGGAAGGGCCTCATCGGAGGCAGTTTTTGTAATTTTCCGTGGTAGCACCGCTAGGCTTTGCCCACAGTTTTCGGCCAATTCGCCAGTCCTTTTGCTCCGATTTGGCTATGAGGGTATTTAAAATTGAATTCTGAGCAAAAAAAATTTTTTTTACCTCTTTTGGCGGTCGAAAGTGGTTCCAGCGCAGTAGCGACGGCGGTCGGTTTCCTTTCCAGCAGTTGGGTCTTCTTCTCCGGCGGGGGGGTCTGGCGGCTAGGGTTAAGATTTAGTGTAAAGAGAGTTATTTATATCCGTCTCTTTTTAATTTGGGCCGTTATCGCGTGTGATCTAAACTGTCCGATCGCGATTAAATAGGGAGTGAATATGGACCGTTCATCGCAATTTAATCTCATCCGTCCGATCACGTTTCAATAGGAAGTAGATCTGTACCGTTCATCGCGTTTAAATTTGACCATTCGATCGCGTTTGGGAAGATAATAGATTTGGACCGTCCGTGCGCACGGGAATGAATTTGGATCGTCCCATCGCGGGCACGTGAATCGCCCGCGTGGCCTCCCACATGGCAACGCGTCAGCGTCCCTTGCCATATGGTGCGCTTCAGTTCGTCGAGACTGTTGACTGGGCATCCTACGTGTACAATTTTTTTAAATTACGTTTTAACCCCTAATTTCTGAATTTTCCTTCAAAAATACCTTGAGAACCCAAATTTTCACCTATTTTTCTCAAAATTATTTTTAATTTCATCATCCATTTAATTTTCTTCATTTTTTCGTTAATTAATAATTTTAAAAAAATTAAATTTTATACATTAAATAAAATTTAAAAAATTATATTTATACATTAATTTTAAATATTTTAAAATTGATTAAAGATATTACAACTCTCCCCCCTTTTAAAAAATATTTGGTTCCTCAAATTTGTCTCTCTCCCACTCAATTAAACAGTTGGGGATATTAGGCTCTGAAGTTTGATTCTAGCTCCCATGTGGCCTCCCCCGGTATGTGATTCTGCCATAGGACCTTAATAAAGGAAATTTTCCAGTTGCGGAGTACTCTACTCTTTCGGTCCACAATGTCGACCGGTATTTTCTCGTAGGACAGATCCTCCTGGAGTGAAAGAGACTCATGGGCCAAGATGTGAGAGGAGTTCGGGTTGTACTTGCGTGACATGGACACACAAAACACATTATCGACCCCAAAAAGTTCTGGAGGCAATGTCAGTCTGTAGACGATGGTGTCAACTCTGTTTAATATTTTAAATGGCCCAATGAATCGGGGATTTAGCTTCCCTCTCTTGCTAAACCTGCAAATTTCTTGGAAAGAAGTGATCTTCAAGAACACCTGATCGCCTTTCTCAAATTCTAAATCTCTCCTCCAGTTGTCTATATAACTTTTCTGTCTGATCTGAGCTGTCTAAATATCCTTCCTGATCTTAACTATTTTGGTTGTAGTCTCCATTACGAGATCTGGGCCGAACAGTTTTCTATCACCCACTTTTTTCCAACATATCAACGATCTGCATGGGTAGCCATACAACGCCTCGTGTGGAGTCATGCCGATACTTGTTTGGTAGCTGTTGTTGTAGGCGAACTCTATCAAGGGTAGATGGTCATCCTAATGGCCTCTAAAATCAAGAACACAAGTTCGGAGCATATCCTCAAGTGTGTGGATCGTCCTTTCTGACTGTCCATCGGTCTAATGGTGGAATGCAGTACTAAGAGATAATTTCGTTCTCATGGCTTACTGAAAGCTAGACAAGAACCGAGAAGTGAACCTGGGATCCTTGTCAGACACTACTGCCACTAGCACTCTATATAATCTAACTATCTCCCATATATATATTCTTGCTAACTTGTCCAAGGGGTCGATCATCCTGATAGTCAAGAAGTAGAAAGATTTGGTAAACCGGTCAACAATTACCCATATGACATCATGTCCTAAGCGTGCCCTAGACAATTCTGTTACGAAATCTATTGTGATATGTTCCCACTTTCACTCCGGAATTGTTAATGGCTGAAGTAGACCATATTGACGTTGATGCTCTGTCTTGACCTGCTAACATATCAAACACTTAGAAATAAAGTCAGTCACATCTCTTTTCATCCTATTCTACCAAAATTGGGGTCGCATATTTTGATACATCTTTGTCCTTCCGGGATGCATGACAAATTTTGAGCTATGAGCCTCTGTCATGATGTCTCTTTTCAACTCACTGTTACCTTAAACACATACCTTGTCCTGAAATCTAAACAATCCATCGGTAAAGACTCGAAATTCTAGATTAACTCCATATTCTGTATCTTTCCTGAGGGCTGCTAAGGTCCAATCGACGAACTGAGCTTCTTTTATTCTTTGGATCAACTCAAGTTGAACAGTCAGGTAAGCCAAATATGTGACTCTTTTCAAGTCCTGAAGTCGCACATGTTGTGCGAACCCTATTACTCTGTATTATGAAACCATCAAGTGAGCTAATATACCTACACTTTTCCTACTAAGTGTGTCGGCTACCACATTATCCTTACCAGGTAATATAAGATGTTGCAATCATAGTCCTTGACGAGTTTTATCCACCTTCTTTGATGCATGTTGAGATCTTTTTAAGTGAATATGTGTTTCAAACTCTTATGGTCAGTATAGATATGAAAGGTCTCCTCATACAAGTAATGACGCAAAGTCTTCAAGG